CGCAGGTCCTTTAGGTGCTGAGAGGGGGCTTAGGGTTTAGGGGCTTAGGGTTTAGGGTTGAGGGTTTAGGGTTGAGGGTTTTAGGGTTTAGGGTTGAGGGTTTAGGGTTTAAGGTTCAGGGTTTAGGGGCTTAGGGTTTAGGGTTCAGGGTTTAGGAGTCTACCCAGACCCCCTACAGGAACCCAAAGATTGGAACATCCTCCCCCCCAAAAAGGCTACATTACTACATTAGGGAAATTAGGGGATGATTAAGGGGATCAATTTTAGTGGCTCCTTTAGGGGGTCTGGGTAGATTCTATTGGCTTTCATCCAAAATTGACCTTCCTAAACCCTAAACCCTATACTACGTTTGCTCAAAAAGCTTGAATGCTGTAATCTAAGGGCTTCTCAAAATCAGGGGTGCCTTTGTAGGTTCCCTATAATAAAGGATTACACTACTCTTTCCCGAGTCTATACTGAGGGTCCCCCAGTTCGGTCCTAAGGCCATTTAAGCTTTAATCTCCCTTCTGCCCCTAAGCCCTAAACCCTAAGCCCTAAACCCTTAACCCCCAAACCCTAAACCTTAAACCCCAAACCCTAAAACCCCCAAACCCTAAACCCCTTAACCCTAGGTGAAAGTCCGTGTCGGCATCCGCTTCCAGCAGCATCTTCACAATCCTAGGTTCCCCAGTAACCCATTAACAATAAGGGTACCCTTTTTCCTACTATTCAATTTTAATCCCTAAGCCCTACACCCTAAACCCTAAACCCCTTAAACCCTAAACCCTAAACCGGCCCTAAACAAAGTAAAAAGGGAAAAATGGTACTACTGAGGTACCTAGAATCTCTGTGTTCCCCCTCCAAGCTGCCAGAAGAAGGGCCGTCTGGTCCTGTTTGTCCTGTTTAGGGAGTTTAGGGGGTTTAGGGTTTAGGGGGGTTTAGGGTTTAGGGTTCAGGGTTTCTGTCCGGGCTTTGGGGTTTTGGGTTCGGGGTGTAGGGTTTAAGGTTTGGGGTTAATCCCTTTTTTGTGGGTTTAATAGGAATCCTAACCAAAAAAGCCATACCAAATCCAAAGAGGAACTACAGTAAAGGGTCCAGGTAGGGTTTTGGGTGTAAGGTTTGGGGTTTAGAGTAGTCCCGCATTGCAGCAACACTCTAATGCCTAAACCCTAAGCCCTAAACCGTGTCAGCAAAAAGGGCCCAATTCAGGGTCTGGGAGCAATTTCCAAGTACCTATGGCGGCATCTGTTCCTTTAAGGGGGGGGGGGTTCGGGGTTATGGGTTTAGGATTTAGGGATTCAGGGTTTACTAAGCGCTGAACCCTAAACATCCCGAAGCCCGAAACCCATTGAGGGATTCTGCCTGAACTTTTTGTCGGCACCAATATCCAACAGCATGCGCGCTATCTCGACATGGCCCCTGTCGGATGCTGAAATGAGGGGTGTGTAGCCACGCCTGTCCTGGTTGCTGTTCAGGAATCTAAATTCAGTTACCATACTTTGGGTATATATCAAAATTAAGTTACCATACTTTGGGTACATCATATAGATTAAGTCACCATATTTTGGGTATGTAGTATATAATAGGGTTTCCTTACTACCCCAACTTAACTTAAGTTCCTTAGCAGCAGCCCAGCGTCTTTTGTGTCCTTAGCCCTCTCCACCAACCCCGTGTCCATCAGCTGGCGGAGAACCTCCGTCTGGCCGGTGTGGCAGACGTCCAGCCTGGGTTGCTGTTAAGGAACTTAAGTTAAGTTACTATATTGGGGAAACCCTACTATTTACTATATATACCCATTATGGTAGCTTAATTTAAGTTCCTTAACAGCAACCCAGCAGCATCTCGTCCAAAGAATCATAGAATTGCCTCATCTCCGAAATGGGCACGATGACGAGTTGCAGGTCCATGGGCTCCTCTAACTTCGTCGCAGGATCCAGGCTGTTGTCATTGTGAAGCAGCTGTTGCATACAAAGGGGAAAGCCATGCAGCCGGCGTAGCTCTTGCTTCAAGGCGCTTACCTTAGCCCGCATTACCCTAGAAAAAAAGGTATCCTTTTTACATAAGTATAAGGAATCCCATACCCCAAAAAGTATAAAGGATCCCTAACATTGATCCAGTTACGTCACGGACTTTCTTGAGGCTGACAGCCGGCAGCTCCTCCCCTGACATCTGGCAGATGCGCAGCATACAGGCGACAGTGCGGAAAGCGAGGCGGCGTCGACTGACAACTGAAATTTGGGTTCACGTTCACACCGCTCAGCCACCTACGATGCCTTCTCTTTAGTAGGCAACCGGGTGCAGAATGGTTATAAGGCTCCTTCTCCGGGTCGAAGATGTATATCACAAAGCACGCGTGTTATCCATAAGAGTATAATCTGCCAGCATATTAAAGAGACTGTAAGATATTTCCTGGTTATGACTTGAGATTTCCCTAGCTACCTTTGAAATAAACCCACTTTCGGACAATTCGGCTATCTAAACCACCATCTGGGACGAGGTCGGCATAGGCCGTTAGAATTATCTGCTCTGCCTTTCCAAAGCCTAAGCCCTAGATCCTAAACCCT